GAGCTTCTGGCGTTCATCAACGGCTTGGCGACGCTCCTCTACTAGGGCATCTTGAATTCGCGAAGAGATTGTAGCGTTTTGTAGCACAATCGTATTTGTTGCTGCTTGAAGCTGTCGCTTGAGGTTGTCGCACTCAGCTCGTTGAGCAGTGATATGCTTCACAAGATCCTCGAAAGTGGACTTGAAGTCTTTTCCAATAGCACTGTAAGAGTTGTGAAGCTGTAACGTGTCAGAATATGGCCTATGAAGCTGCAACACAGAAGCTTACCTGTCCGTGGAACGCAGTCATCTCATTCAACATATCTGCCGCTATCCTCTCGGCAGAATGAGAGATAGACTGCAGGCTCTCGCCCATTCGCTCCTTGACCGTGTCACGAACAACCTTGATCTCCTCCAAAACCTCGTCCATATCCTCCTTCGACTTCTGCTTCGACTGGAGCAAGTCCTTCTTCGACTGAGTGAATGTGCTGAAGTGCTCATCGAGGAAAGTTTGTGTAGTCGATAGCTTACGCAGCTCCTCATCTACAAAGTTCTCCATGCGCTGTCCGACACTTGCAATATGTTCTTGCTGCTCCTCCTGGAACTCATTGATTCGACGCTCGATCATGGAGGTAACGTCAGCAACCTGATCCTGAGATGTTGTCCATGTGTTTCGGTTGATCGACTGAAGATCCGACTTTCGCTTGTTCTTGGCATGAAGACCACCAACATCACGGACTGTCTTATGCAGCTTGTTGATGAGCTCTCCACCAACCTCGGTGAGCTTCTGCTCCGTCTTCTGGTGTGCTTTTCTGATCTTGGTTTCCTCAGCAAGTGACTTCCGTGTTGCTGAAAGAACAATCTCGGTTTGGTCCAACACTTCCTTGGTATCATCCAGCTCGGCTTTTGTGCCCTCGTGATCCTTCTTCAGTCCCATGAACGTAGACTGGAGGCTGAACAGCTCCTGGACCTTGTTGCGCAAGTTGTTTTCCAGGGTCTCAAGCTTGGCGGCCTGCTCCTCGTTGACGATGCGGCGGGATTCACTCTGAGCCGTCATCTCTTCATAGGCTTCGTTTGAAAGATAGACACCGTTGCGTTGGCGAGTAGCGATAAGCTCACTCTTGAGCTTCTCGATTTCCATAGTAAAGTCCCTGAGCAGTGTCTTCTTCTCGACCATAGGGTTGAGCTGGGGCTTATTCTTGATGTTCTTGGCCCTGAAGGCATAGTCGAGTGTTGATATGGTCTCTTCCAAATTACTCTTGGCGGGAGAAATGGTTGCAATGATGCAAGTCTTTGTCCTACCGCCAAGTGAGTCTTGTAACAAACGAGTCAACTTGGACTCTCGGTAGGGAATATGAGAGCTGCGGTCCACGAGCGCGTTGATGACTCGACCGAGAGTCAAGAGTGACTTGTTGATGAGGCCAGCCTCCACAGCACGCTTGTTCTCAGCTCCTGATCGCTGAATATTCTCACTTCCAGCCAAATCGACAAGATTCAACTTTCCAGCACTAACAAGAGCATCCACGCCGTGCTCGTTCGGTTTTCGGACATATGTGGTAATGGTGAAGACCGTGTGACTGCGAGAACTTAGATCATTGCACTTTGTAGCAGCAACCTGGCGTTTCAAACTGCCATCCTGAAGCACTTTGACACCCTCGGTAGCGCTCTTGATGTGCTTCTCCTCCATGCCCTGAACAATGGTGCTGAGATGGCCTCGTCGTGAAGTGTCGTCGAAAATTTTGAGCTTGTTGCCCTCGTCGGATGAAAGCAGATCGCGGAGTTCTTCGTTATAAAGTTCAATAAAGGAGCACTTGATGGTACTCTCGGCGTTCTCGAGCTCGAGCTTGTTGAACAGGGTTTGTAGGACTCGAGGAATGATACCAGCTTCGTCTGAGAGCATACCCAGGGTGTCGGTCATGTCACCAGACATGGTATATGTCTTTCCTGTACCTGTCTGTCCATAGGCAAAGATGGTGCAGTTATATCCGGAGAGCATCTGAGACAGTTAGTAACTAGATTTGTGTCCCGTATGCGCGCTCTTTCAACCCACCTCGTCCAGAATTGGCTTTACTGTATCATCAAAAACCATGTTTTGATCCGCTGCCTGAGAAAAGACGCGATCGAAGTTATACGAGCGGTTGCTCAAGGCATTGGAGCCCATTGACAACTCGACAATCTTTCCCTTGACCGCATCTGCCGTAACAACAACATTGCTGTTCTCGCGGACCTCACGCTCGTTGCGTCCACGACATCGCACCACGACCTGGATATTTGTCTCCTCGGCGCTAGACTCGGCCTCAAAGTCACGCTCCTTGCGCTTAGATCCGATGGTGTTAACAGTGTTCACTGAAGCGATAGATCCAGTCGGTGATACGGCGCCGTTGCGCGTCGCGAGCGATGAGCCATATCGTGTCGGTGGTGCTCTTGACCCAGCTCTTACGCTGGAGCGGCTGCTGTTGGCGGTGGCAGCGCGCACGCCTGGAGCCATGGCGATGCGGCTGTGCTCCCGATCGGAGCGTGTTGGGCGTGGAGGAGCCACGATGGGCAACGTTTTGTGGTTTGGTTTCTATCGAGTTGAGTCTGGTGTTGAAGGCTGTAGAAGAAGCCTCGAGAATGCTTCAGACGCTGCACATTCGCTTGATCGAGTATGAAACTAAAGGAGCAAAAATGTTTGAAACTGGCAGAATCTCGAATACGTTGACAGTACAAGGAGGGGATGCCTGCATATGGTTTTTGGTTATGATGGCGGCAAGGCGGGCTGTTTGGCATAAGGTAAAGTAAATAGTAACTACAACTGTTTAACCATGTTTCGGTGGAACGGGCTAGGGTCAACACAAGCTAGGGCGTCTGTTGCCACGACAACAGGCCACCTCCAAGGGAGCTCACCCACTAACGAGGTGCCTATCCTGGTTTACACTCAATGGGACTATGGAACTCTCTCTAAAAGCGGTGAAAGTCATGTATGTTACGATAGGTCATTATTTCATGTCTTGGATGCGAGCATCATGATTTCCGTAGTCATCATGAGACACTTTGATTAGGTCCTCAGTGATTCAAGGTTAAACATAAACGGCATTACATTCCCGTAAGGGGATGAATGCTTAAATACGCCTTCTATGTAATACAAAAAATTAATCAAAACTCCAGGATTTGTAGATTCGTATCATCATGAAGCGCTTTGTGAAGCTGATAGATTGCTATTCGGTGTCCATCTTAATGTCTTCAGCTTCTGACTTCGTCTCTGTCGCTGGAGCTTTGGCTTCCTCCTTAATATCAGAAGCCGCTGTATCAGCTTTCTTGTCGTCCTCGGCTTTGTCTTTGTCTTCTTCTTCTTCCTTTAGCTTCTTGTGGGTTTCGCTTTCAAGGTCTTCATCTGCCTCCCTCTTGGAGCCTACGCTCTCTGCGCCGGGGCTCTTGGGTTCACTGTCGCCCTCAGCATCTCCATCAGCGTCCACATCGACCTTACCCTCCTCCTCATCGTCATGTTTCCTGCCAACTGCCGCTTCAACATCGATCCCTTGCATGCCCATGCTACCTTCTGACATGAAACTCGTAGTTGTAGATTGAGGTCCAGTGTCGCTCATGCCGATCTCTTCGGGTCCTCTGGCATGGGGTATCTCGTCTTCTTCCTCATGTGGCTCTTCGTCCTCTTCATCGTCCATCGTCATACGTTCTCCTTCAAGAACCACTTCTTGGGCTCTTGACAGTTGGCTCACGGGGACCACGCCGGCTCTTTGCTCTTGGCGTAAGAGTTCTCCTTGTGTGACCCCTCGTGCATGCCCTGTAGATGGAATTCCGTTGACGCTGACTGAAACTGTCTCGATGCTTCCCACCCCATTGGGACCCTCGATGGTCTCTGTGCTTTCGCTGTGGATTTGAGCTCCCGGGGTGTCCTGTGAACTCTCCGGGCTGCGCCTCGTCAACCAAGGAATAGGCGTTAGTAGTGCTCCTCCTAGCGCTTCATCTGTGCCCAATGCTGCCGTTGTAGGGTTGCTCCATGAGACTGACACTGCTGGATCCTTGGGGTCCTCGCCATTCAAATGCATCGAAGACATGTCAGGAATAGGCGGTGGCAGGGGATATGTCTTCATACTCGATGTCACCTGGACCACGCGATCAACGGCATGCAGATAAGGCGCTATCGCTCTATAATGCGCTCTGGGCCGTAAGATCAGCTCGGCAAGGCGCTGAATGGTGTGTGGGGGGTGCGTCTCAAAGGTCTCGAGATGTTTGGTGATGTCAATGACCATATCGGCCAGTTGCTTGGGCAGCGCGCCATCGATGACTTGTGTAGCTGGAAGCGACTCGATTGCGGAAGTTTCCTTATTCGTTTCTTGAGACGATTCGGCTTGTGGTGACGAGGGCGCAGATGCTCGCACCTCGACAGAAGGCTGGTGAGCCGGCGGTGGAGGCGGTAATTTAGGGATGGGAAATTCGTTGTGCGCAATCTGAAGCGGTCAGTCCCTAGATCGAAGCAATCACAAAGCGACAGATGGTAGTACCTTGTCGAGTCTGGCAATTATGTCACTGCGCACAGAAGGCCAGACGTCCCTATTGCAGTCAGGTTTTCATGCCCACACACGTGCATCCGAGTCTTTGAACTTACTTTTCCACAGTAGCGCCCGTGGCGAAAAGAGCGAGAGGTCCATTATCGCTATCAACCTCCATGATATAGGTTGCGATAGAAATGCTAGTCTGCGATGGTGTTGATCACCAAGTCGCGATCGGTCGCGATGCTTTGGTCAGTGGTGGGGTTGTAGATATGGGGGCGCCTGTCCCGTTAGATGCATGTAAACTTAACCTACACCACTGGCATACTGGCACGAGGGCACTTTCATCCAAGGCTCTCGTTTATACATAATTCATATCGACACAAAAGTATCACGAAGGGAAGCGGTGATGTGAGACGAATCATCTCTTTATGAGCTCAACAATAAACACAGCATCTCGTTTACTGATTACCATTAAGAGCTATCTATTATATCCTCAGAATCCAACGCCATAACCAGTCTATTTTGCATTTAGAACTGGAACGGGTTATACAACCACTTTGACGGCTCAAACATTGCCTCAAACTTAATCCCATCATACGTTCCAATAGCACAACTTAGATCATGGAAACCCTCCAACCCTGTAACCGGTAGATCTTGTTCAGCATCAGTCTCCTCATGGAGCGCCCAGCCACCTGTCATCGTACCGTTGCGCGTAAAGAAGATATCGACCTGCGGCTTAGGTCCACCAACTGAACGCAATGTCATGCCAATTCCGTAAGTCTCTCCACGCTTGAAAGGCTCGGTGAAATCACGGCCACCCCAGCGATCGTTGACGTATTTGTGTCCGTCGTCACCATGTACTGCTAGACTTCCGCGATGCCAGCCTGGCATGCGGAATGAAGGATAGGGTAGCGCGGTGAAACCAAGGGCGATGAATACCTCAGGGCTGTCGCGTGCAAGCTTAACTTCGTAGTAGATAGTCTTGGGCTGGCCGAGGCGAACAGGGTCATGCTCAGTTACTGAGTAGAGAGGCGGATAACCAATAATGCAACGGTCAGGTGAGTTCTTCCTACTCCAACCTTGCCAATGTCCTGGTTCCATCCAAGTGAGCTTACCACTGAAACCTACAGGCTCCATGAGGCGAATGTTGCCTGCCTGGAGAGCCGTCTTTCCAGTCTGGTCCAAGTTAATGGGTGCTGTCAATGGATATGACTGGCACCAATCCTCGCCGGCATTGGCCTCTTCCTCAGTAGCATTGCTTGTAGGAGATCTATCGTAGCCGCTGAAGATAGCGGGTGGTGGTGGGAACAGTGAAGTATCCGGCACTGCCACTTCCCAGTCATGCTTGGGCGGTGGCCCAGATGGTGGCGCGTAGTCTCCTTGTCCTGGTGGAGGACCTGGAGGTGCATCATACTGCGCTGCGGCCTTGCCCGGCGGTGGTCCTGAAGGAGAAGAATATTGCTGCGATGAAGATTGACCAGGTGGTGGTCCCGGAGGTGGTGCAAAATCCGAGGCCTGTTTTCTGTCTGGAGGAGGTCCTGGGGGCGCAGAATAGCTAGACTCTCCAGCATATTGATTTGGGTCATTTTGAGGGTTGTATTTACTCTTCTTTACATCTCCTTGACTCTGAGAAGATGCCGGTCTCTGCGCGGGACGAGGTGCAGGGTCATTATTCGCCTCTTTCTTGCTTCCAAAACACATTGTGATGATGATGATGTTGTTGAAATTAGGTGTAGGACCTCAAGGCACATATGACGATGTTAAGCAGGGGTTCAAAAGTGGGCACCTGCAACCACTTATAAGCTTAAATCAAGCAGGAATCGCGGTTAAATGGCAAAGAATTACCCAAGAACGGTTATTGGTGAGCAATTGAGGGTTTAAGAAGGAAGTCTATATGTGTTCTCCTTTGTTGACATCATCTTGGTTTAAAGTAGGTAGTGGCTGTGCCGCTTAACTTCCACAAACATCACGCCGCTTTGAGCTTACACAGCCCCTTCTGGCATCACGAGGCAGAAAGCTGGATTGCGATACGCCAATACGCAGAACACGACAAGTCAATAAGAATTGTTTTGGGCTAGGTCACTATAGGTATTACTGTTGCTTCCTTAAAAATAATGGGTTATCTTGTCAATTTGAGTTATTCTTTTCCCTTTGTAAGTTGTGTTAACTACCTAAGAGAAGGTAAGTTACTGAGCATCTCAGCCCATGTTGTTTGTTACTACTCTCGATATTTGATGTTAGAAAGCCCCATCCTCAGCCCTCACCAGCCAAGTTTCTATGACGCAGACCAACTGCCTCCACCCAGTTCGCTGGCTTTCTGGTCATCGGGATAGAAGAAGGCTATAACAGCAATGATGATGTACACTGCACAGAGCAGAGCACCCTCGAGATAATTACTTCTTCCGTCCAGGACGAGGAAGTTGACAATAAACGCCGAAACGAACAGACAGACGGTCTCAAACAGTGTAAAGTAAAGAGACATGTCTTTGTCCATGATCCATCCCAGAATAACCATGACGGGAGTAAGGAGTAGAGCAATTTGAATGGAGCTGCCTACAGCGACACCGATCGCCAGATCCATATGGTTTTTATATGCGACCTTGATGGCGGTGACATGTTCAGCGGCGTTGCCAACAATAGGGAGAATGATGAGACCAATCCCGACCTCGTTGACACCAGAATTCTCAACAACCTCTCGAATAGAATCAACCAGAAATTCAGCACAAACTGCAACCAAACCGGTGGAGATGAGGAGAAGAATGATGGCACCAGCCTGGGTGAGGTGTTCCTCTTCGTTCTCCTGTTCCTTGGCGATCATTTGAGCACCAGGGGCAGTCAAGATTGGAGGAACAGAAGAGGGTAGCATGGCGCCGGGTGCTCGAAACTGGAGACGGTCCGGGAGGGAATTTGTACGTCTGATTCCATAGCGAACGTGAGGGGCAGGAGTAGATGCCACCGTCGACTTTTCAGTGAAAACGGGGGCGATATTTTTGACAGACAACCCTCGAAGGGGGAATGGCCGTTTGCCAGTGTTTGAGGGGCCAGCCTCAAGGTCATCCTGAACGGCGAAATCCACACGGCGAGGTTCACCTTCGCCATTGTTCTGCGGGGCATTTTCGGGCATCTCATTCTGTGTCTCGGCAACGCCTACGGCCTTCTTGGCATCGCGAGCTTGCTTCTTGCTTTTGCGGTGCCTGTGTCGGCGATATCGACGACGTCGACGTGAACGCTTTGCCTCTTCTTCTTCGTCCTCTTCTTCAATGGCACTCTCACTACCTTCGTAGGATGGGAAGCGAGGAACACGATGACGCGAAGCTGCGGCCTCGGAGACCTCATCCTGTGGGGTGGTATTTGTCGTTGTGAACGAGGCACTGCGGGTTCCTTTGGTATCAGCGGTATCAATCGAAGCAGTGCTAGATCTCCTATGCCGTCTATTTCGCAGGACCTTTTTCATTTTCTTTCGCATTGTACCATGAGATGAGTCAGAGTCAGATGAATCCGAACTTGAGGATGAGCTGTCGTCAGAGCTGGAAGAATCGAGAAGGCCGGCAGCGGGTCCAGGGGCCAACTCAGCATCGATGATATGCTGAGGAGTCGACTCATACATGTAAGCATGAGATTTCAGCTGGAACATGAGATAGATAACATACACAAGCAGGAGGACCTATGTTAGTTAGCAAATTGAAAAGATCTTGTATTTTAAACCCGAGACTTACAATGCTCGTTGCACGGCTGATATTGAGGGATTCCCGGTCAGCGTCATCATTGTTTCGGAAGGAAGCATGAAAGGCTGTCTTTTAAATAGTTAGCACATGTATAGGTAGATATAAGCTCTTGTTAACATACCGGCAGAACAAGACTGATAACACTCAAACTGAGCAAACAAGCACTCATTTGAGTGACAGTACTGTTATAGACTTGCTCTCTGAAGCGCAAGCCACCAAGAAGCATGGCCATACCTAAATTGAAGCTGTTATTATTTGAAGTTGAAACGCTGGGCAACCCACGTAGCGGTTGATAGCAAATGGGAGGGAGCGTACCTAGGATAAGCAATAAATTCGCTAAGATTGAACCCAATAGGGATGCCTGAACAATGCGAATTTCGTCCTTCGCTAAGGCTGAGATGAAGATGATGAGTTCCACGGCGTTGCCTATAATAAACATACGGATCAGAATCTGTGTGGTGTTCTGTTGTTCTGTGGGTGGACTTACCAAAGGTGACATTCAGCAATGCGCCGAGAGCATCGCCCATCTTTCGGGCAACAGACTCGGTAGCATAAGCTAAGAGACCAGCAAGGGGAATGATGGCGACTGCATTGAGACCAAAAACAATACCTCCATTGATGCCATCTACCTGGGATACTGCAATACCAACAGGGACGAAGATGAGGAGGATGTTGAGCCAGCTGTGGAAGAGGGAAATTTTGATACTTCGCTTAACTTCAGCGAAGAATCTGGTCATTTTGCTGGTTGGATTGGGGTTCTCTTGTGACGGCTCCTCGCCCTTGTTGGGAGTCTCTATGACAGACCCCGGCCGTGTAGCCTGAGACGATGAGTGAGATGGGACATGGCCAGCAGAGAGGGCCTTGAGAAGAGAGGAGTTGTTTCGGCTGGGGACTTGACGGTCACCGCCGTTGACAGAGCCGGAGCTGCCATGCTGCTTTTCGTTCAACTCTTTGTGTTGAGTGATGTTGCTGTGCTCATTCAAGCCCTGAGCAATGGGCGCTGTGGGTTGTGCACCAGAGCGACTGCCATCTATATTGGGTGGATCAGGAGAAGCTTCCTTCATCGAACAGGTGTTTGGTTCTGAGAGTGTGATGCGAAGCCGTGGACTATCAGAAAAAGATAGTCGTCTTGTGCGTGGTGAGTCTGGGTAAACGTCGAAGTTGTGAAGTGAAAGATGCAGGAAGTCCAAGAGCCAAGGTCTTGGCTTTAAGGCGGGAGCTAGATCTGAGATGACGCTGGTTGTCCAGTGGCGTCAGTGGATCTCAACCCACTTAATGTGGCTGGAACATGAGCCTAGCGTAGTGATGTCGAAATCGGTGAGGGAGCCCGGCTATACTTGTGCTTGATTGGTTCCTTGTAGTGCTGTCAGAGGCAAAGTGAGGCGGTGCAGCCTTAGATTATCAGATACTATGGACTAGTTTGCCCCGTGATCCCTGAGCTCCCTCGCTTGTAGAGAATCTCGACGTTTCTAGTTCTATCGTGACTCATTTCCCTTTCTCCTCGACAAACAACAACGCTCAGTCAGCTATTGCTATTACCTAGGTAGCCTCTATCGCAAAGGCCAACAAGGAGACTCAGCTTCGCCAATGCTCAAAACAGGCCCAACAAACAGGCTACTGGAGACACGCTACGAATAAACAAGCTTATCGATGTTATCCCCCGTCTTTCTCGGATGCGAGGTGCCGTATTGAGGCTTGGCATGATCACAACAAGAGCGTGGCCTCCCAAAGCGTCAATGATCGACAGGGACCACAATCAAGTTTCCTTGAATTGGACTTGCTGTGGCTTGAATCGATACGTACCGTTGTCCCTCTACAGATAACAATGCTTACTCGGCGTAGGAAAGGACAAGTCCATCCCTCCAAGTGACGCAATATGATAACAAAGCGCGTATGACACGGGGATACCACTCGGGTGTAACTCGAGTCGGAGCCGAATGGTGAATTGGTCAATACGCCGTCGGATACGCTTCGTAGACTCCGCCCCTGGTAACGCAATACAATCCACGTAACCCAATCCACCAGAGACTGCTTTTCAGCCAGGTGCTAATGCAGTTGCAACGAAGCTAATAAGCGGGACTTGTTGCTGGCTGCACAGGCTTGACAACTGGTCAGAAGAGTAAAGGATTCTATTGTAGGAAGCTAAACTCGAAGCCACTCGCAGCTCTTGTTAGTGTATGATATTTGGCCATTTCTTCATTGAGGGGTCTATATAAATCTTATGTGTATACCAGTCTAAGATGCCTATGGCATTATTTGTCTTTGGGTCAGGTATTCAAAATCAAAGAACCTATGTAATATGACTGTAGGGAAATTTCTGAACTTGTAATTCTTAGATATAGTATTTAGCGTTGACAGGTAAAAACTATAAATTGCAGGAGTATGTTCAGTCAACCTGACGTCAACATATAGATCATATAAATATTATCATACTAACATCGAGACAGCGTCTTCCTTATAGTCACTATCAAGGACTATTAATTGGTTTATTGAGCGTTTCGCCCTCCTTGCCCAAATCCAGCAATGTCCAACACTCGCCAATATCCATGTCACAGGCTAATAACCAAATAATTAAAAATCTGGGCTCATCAACCAGCAAACACCACACAGCCAGGCCTAGAGTACTACATCTCAGTTGTGGGTCAAAAGATACTTTTGCAGATAAGATTACACAAAGATATATTTCTGACCGTTGCACAGAGGACGTTTGCGAAGACGTTTGCGACGACATCCCACTGCGCACTCTAGGTTAGCTGTAATAGACGTGAATACCATTTATGATCTCTATTTGATACTTAGATATCAACAGGATAATACCTTGCATATAATAAATATTGCTATTCCTAGGCTAGTTCAACGAACATAGACGAGATTTAAATTTATCATCCCTAACTGGGTATATAAGTATTAGCTAAAACACTCAATATATAGTACTCAAATAGACTCACACATGGAAAACTGGTTCATAGATAAGTA